CTGATGTGTGATGCAATTCCGGCAGCTGCAGCGATGTCACTCAAACAACAGCGTCGATGTGCAGAAAGTGATTGCGGATATTATGGCCGGCAGTCGTTGTGCCCCAAACCTGACAATACAACTTTCATACCACGGCTAGAAAAAAATGTCCTGAAGCGATGTGCGGCCGCCCAGAGCAGCTGCCGCCCCCCTGCGTGCGTGAGCCGGCGGGCCATGTGGTGACTTCTCCCTCGCCCGGCACGGGCTCCGGGGGCGCCTATCGATCGGGCCGCGTGACTGCCGGCCCGCAGGTCAGCAACCCCACGCAATATCGCGACGCCGCTCCACAAACATGGCCGGAGGCTGGCCCGTCGAGCCCGCCGCCGCCGCCGCCGCCGCCGCCGCCGGCGCGGTCAGGTGGCAGGGGACGAGGCGAGGTGGGGCGAGGCGGGCTGGCTGCGCCTCGACCGACCACGCGGCCGCCTCGCGGCGTATGACGGCTGCGTTCGGCGAGGGTCGGTTTGCTTGTCGTCTCGGTGGTGGCACCGGCGGCACGGCAGACGATGGCGGACGCTTGACGCACCCGCCATCGCGGCGGCGCCTGGGCGCTGGGGGGCGCGTCCACCTCGACCAAGCCTTCCCGCGGCCCTGCGGCGGCCCCGCAGCGACTGCGACGACCGCCTCGCGCGGTAGGGAGTAACACCACCGCACGGCCGGCGCGGGCGGCACGTTCCGCGGTCGGGGGTCGGCAGGGGGAGGGGAGCAGAGCGAGACCAGGGCCAGGGAGATGGAAGAGGGGGAGGCGAGCAGAGGCCACACAGTCACTGCTAAACTCTCCCCTTCGATACTGCTGGCACCAGCAGCGCAGAGGGAAGACAAGCGGAAAAGCACACGTGGACCGGTGCGACGAAGTGTCGCTATACTGGCAATATTGCGCTGGTCAGGGGTGCTCCGCATTGAAGCTGATTACAGCAGTGCAAGAACAGAGAAAAAGCCGGACGAAATCATGTCTGCCCCTGCCGTGACAGAGCCAGGATACCAGCTGAGTCCGCTGCCGCCGGCGCAGCGCGAGCCCGATAGAGGCGGGGTACGGCCATGCAGACGCCGAACAGAGACGAATTAGCGCTGCGCCAGATGGGCCCGACTCTGACAAAACAGGAAACTAATGGTCCTGTGCTAATTAGCGGCGTTTTCATTCATTACGACAGCCCCTACACAACACCGCTAATTAGGGCTTCATGAAACACCGCCGAGGTCATCACAAGGTCACTTCGGGGAGCAGTACTCGTGGTGACTTCGTGTCGGGATATTTACCACATAACACACGCGAGTCCAGGTGTTCTGGTGCCAGGTCTCGTGACTGTGCTTACATCTTATTAGCATAGCTTAAATCCGCATAAGTCAGAGCATAAATGGGGCCATCTTCAGCTGAAATGGACATGCTGCATACCCTGTGTTCTATTGCGCAGTTCGCGACCGCGCGGGGCCAGCCAGATAAATACTCGATGCCCGGAGACCGTGCTGCCTGTCATGTTACACTATCTTCTACAAAGGCCTCTTGACAAGGGATGTCGCCACCAGGATGCGCGACACTTTCAGATCTTGGTCACCTGGCCGGCTCCCGCCGAGCGCCTTGTTTGAGAGTCCGACGCTTGCGCAAAACCGGTAGGGCCTGCCCCGAAACATCGGCCACACCGCCGGCCCGGGTCCGCGCGGCGCTCGCCGGGCGGCCTCCTCCGCGCCACGCTTAATCGATGGTCGTGGCGACCGATCGAATCACCTCCATTCATTTAATGGCCGCGTCCCTCTCCTCCTCCGGCCGGTCCGCGCAGGGAGCGTCGCTATTGCCGCGCTGCGCCCGGAATGGCATTTAATTATCGACCCCGGCCAGGTAGGCGGCCGGCCGGGCGCGGCGGTGGCCAGACTGTGACGTCACCGGTCGCCGAGCACGCAGAAAGCGCCGCCATCACACACGAATCAGCCCGCCCTCGCGCGTCAGCTGGCGAACTCTTGGTTCAGGAGATGTGTCAATGGGTGTCTGAATGTATGTGGTTAGTCGGATAACATAATTATTGTATGTCCGTGGCGGTGACTTGTCTCTTATTATCAGGCTGTCATAAGCTTTCATTAGCAGCTTGCATGTCACCTCGGATGCTGTTAAATGTACATCAAAATATTGCCAGTTTTCGTTCCGGTTGTAAATAACGACTGGAGCATCACTCAACCCCTACTTGACTCTTCCTCCTTTTCCCTCCCCTTCGAACGCAACACATTTTATCCCAATTATCCTTCTAGACGACCAGAAGCCGTGTCCCCGCCGTGCTGGACGGCCTGCTGCCCGCACGACTGCGGCGTTCTGTGAGAGGCCCGGCCGGCGCCCCCCGTCCGCGTTCGTCCAGCTATCTGCCGGTTGATCTGAGGATCACATTAGCACGGCTCAGGCCTCGCCCGCTCCATGTGTCAGGCACGACGACTTTGATCTCACGACGGCTTAGACGGACACTAAGCGTGGCTGGTGGCATCAAACAGGCGTGCCGTGCCGTCCGGGAGGCCCGCCTCGGGCGGCCGGATGGCAGTCAGATGGTGGCCTTGATCCAGCGGCGGATGCTGCAATGAGCTCGGCCGGGCGACGAGTATGGGCTGATGGTGAGTTACGGGTCAGATGGGGGGTTCGGGCAGATTACGGAGGTGGTGTGGTAGTGAATTTGGTCATATGATGCGTCTGACTAGACGTGCGCCTGATAAGATGGTGTTCCTATTCAGATGGCGCGCCTGATCAAATGGTGTGCCCGATCAGATGAAGTGCGCGATCAGATGGTGCTTCTAAGCAGATAGTGCGCCTGCTTAGACCATACGCATGATTAGGCCATGCTCCTGATCGGACGGTGCGCCTGATCAGACGGTGTGCCTGGACAGCAGAATGGACATCTCTCGGAGGTGGCAGTGCCCCAGGTGGCGATCCGCCGCCACTGACATCTTCACAGAACTGTGACGTCTGGGGCCAGGCGTCATCCGCACCACCCCGCTCGGTACACTCGTGAGGGCGTGTGCTCGGGCCGCACCGGGCTCACAGGACTGTGACGTCTGGGTCCAGGCGTCATCCGCGTCACCCCCGCTGCGTACGCTCGTGAGGTCGCGTGCGCGGGCCACGCCGGACGCGTCCCGGCCATACAGAAAAATCTGCGACTTGTCCAGCGTGACATCCCCTCCTCGACCGTGGGGGGAGGGGGGGGGGGCGGGGTGGGGGAGAGCACATCGGCCAGCCGCCGCCCTGTTGTTCAGCGGATCGCCAGTGTGACCCGCCTGGGCCGCGCCGATGCGCCAAAGCGATGCCGTTGCGGTGTCTGTCGACGTTCGTTACAGACCGCTGATGACGACTGGAGATGAACTGAGGACCACTCGGGACCGGCGCGACAGAGGATAACAGACTCTTCAGGAGCGGTGAGTACCCAGAATGACGGGCAGTTCAGAGCCGGTGAAGGCCGAGAACTACCGACAATTTCAGACCAGTGAAGACTGAGCATGGCGGACAGTTCAGGACTTGCGACGACTTGCAAATGACATCTAACTGAAGACCGGCGACGACCGGGGAACGACAACTAGAGAATGACCACGAGATAACTGAAGACCGGCGAGGACCGGGGACCTGAAAGTTCGAGACTGACCACGAGCTGCCATGGTGGACCGGACTCCAGCCTGGCGAGGGCTGACGGTGCAAGATTCCAGACAGACCAGGAGGAAGTACAGCGGACAGCGACGGTGGCCGAAGTCCGCAGATGAGGGTTAACTGAAGACTAACACAATAGCCGTGTGTCGTAGATGAGCGAAGAAGAAGAGGAGTCAAATGCACTGTGTCTGTGGGTTACCATAACGTGCACCCAGCCGACACTGGGTGTCATTAGTGATGAAATGAAGCGGTCGTCCTGGTCTTTAACGACTCATTAGTCAACACCAGGACGAGAGCCGGTCGCGTGGATTCTACACTTAAACGTCTGATCAAATTGTATATGCGCACCAGACGCCATCACTTATGTTGACCAAACACGATATCAGAACAACACGCGTCATGTGCCGTCAGAGGCAGCCACGGCTGTTGGGATGGGCCCAACAGCGGATCTCCTCGTTTTGTGGTTGGGTGAGAGTTACGCACCGAGTAAAAGGGAGTGTGGACGTTGCGTGAATAAGTAGGTCCTAAGGATTACAAAATCATATCAGCCAATCTACATGAAATATGAGGCTGCTGTACCTACTTTTGCATCGATGCACTAAGTTCCCTGCAGTCCGTTCCACCATGTCCAAGGTCTTGTAAAGGTCGACTGAGGCATATTTAAACCCTTTTAACAGCTCATTGTCATTCGCTCTGTACGTGCAGTGCAAACGCTCATGCACTCCCTTCCAAACAGCGAGGTAAAACTTGGGTCACACTTTTAAACGCAACGCTTCATGACGTAGAACGCCAAACCGTAGATGTCACAACGTTAGAGAAACGGTTTGCCTCACTGTAATTGACCATGGTCGTCCGCAAATAGCACACTTCATGTTTACGATCAGGGTCTGCACGTGCAGTCGCCGTCGTTCTTTGTCGATAACGGGCCATGACGACAGCGAGACCCATACTGTTTTTGAAGGAAACGTTTGTGCACAGGGTCGAGGGGTCAAGCTGTGCAGACCTCGTGATCGAGGAGAAGGACACCAGCCAATGTTGTTGCGGCGGTGGATTGCGAAAACAGGGACCAAAGTCTTCTAGTCTCGGAAGCCACGCTGCTTCTCTGGGGTTCCTGACCCTCACGTGGGTCACAAATATTTGTCATAGCGGTTCCTCTACATATTCACACCGGTATGTTATACAAAGGAGAGTTGTGGGCAAGGGGCCGGAGCCTTCTGCGTACCGACGCACAACTGAATGGCATTTCAACGCACTACGCAGAAATCAGGTCAGTTTACGTCACAAATACCAGTAATGCAGCGCGTCTCAGCCACCTGAAGGCAAACACTGCACACACCTTAGCCAAGCCACTCACCTCGAACGCAGCAAGCGCAGGCCAGCAGAAGGACGAGGGTCGCCCGGCGACCGAGTTCGCCGCGGTCAGTCCAACTCCCCATCGTGCCCGCCTACAGGGCCACCATCGCACCCGACAGCGGCGCACGCACGTCTGCCTGGGCGGGCAGCCCTAACCGGGTCAGACGCCCTCCTTGATCGCACCGGACAGGGGACTCCCACACACCCACACACGCGGAGCGCAAGACCGCGACTGATGGTCAACCGACGGCGACGGCGGCGGCCGCGGCCGGCGCCCGACCGTCAGCGCCACGCTGCGGCGAGGAGGTGAACCACGGCCTTCCCTGTCAAGTGGGATGTGGGACGGAGCTCGCAGTACTGAGCGCTCGCCAAGCCGTTTATTTGCAGAACGAGACGTTGGGGGTCGGTGAAGGGGTCCAGGTGGCATGCAACTAAAGCTGTTTTATTTAATCCATCAATCTGCCTTAACCGGAAAATCGGAGCATTATAAAATCGCATTGATTCTCAGCGCCCGAATCGTGCCAGCAATTGATCCACGCGCGTGATGTTTGTATGTGTCGGCCAATCGCAGGTCATCGCCAGTATAAATCATATCTAAGAAAATACATAGCACGACCTTTGCTGGGATCAGCCAAGCAAATGCCTCCATGTTATACGGAGTACATTGCCGGGTTCATTTTGGCCTTAAAGCCGAACTCCACAGCCGCGGCGGTTCATCAGTGGAATGTTCACAATGTCGCTGATTTCTAAATCCATTTATATCGACGGCCGTCCTTGCGTGTCGCTTGTAACGTGCCGTCAGATGCCCCGTAGCAGTGTTATGATGAATGGTCGAGCCGGAGGAATCGGTGCCCTCACAAGCGCGCCGGGCGTGCTCACAGCTCAGCAGGGCGGTGCTCAGGAGCCCAGGAGCCCAGGAGCCCCAGAGCACAGGAGCCCCGGAGCCCTGCAGCTCCAGCGTCACCGCCCGGTAAGCCGTGAGCGCAAGCGCGTACCTGGGGAGAAATTCTGGAGTTGGAGTCGCACGAGGCATGGCGGTGGCATCAGGTTCGTTAACAAAAATGACACTTTGTTTGGAAAGGTGATTGCTTGTCCTCCCATAGCAAGGACAGCTTGTCTGCTGCTGATAGATAGAAGATATTTCAGAAGAATGAAAGAGCTTACAAGAATCTGATTTGTATGCAGTCTCGGGGTTTAGACAAGCGGTTAACGTGAGAAGGTTGTCTGATGAGAGCTTTGAGCCAGTCATCTTTTGGTCTGCTTTATAACTTTGGGTCCAACAAAAGGTTTCCCAACTTTATTTTGCTCTACAAAGAGGTGACAAGTGCTTGAGAGGCTCTCCCAGGCCCCGTTGAGTTAGGCAAGGTCGGGTCCCCTGACTCCGAATCTGTGTGCAGTGAGCCTGATGGACTCAAAATCGGAATCCGATGCGACGCCAGGGAAATCAGAGCTTGGACTCCGACCCACGCCACTAGAAATGGAAGGCACCTAACTTGAGCTGGAACTCAACTCGCTGGCAGTCGAATTCGGATTCGAAGTCGGCTTTTTGCGCTCAGACCCATACCTGGAAGCTAGGCGCGAACCTGAATTTCCTTTTTATCCTCCTCTTTCCGGAGCGATGGCCTTTCCTTTCTTCTCCTTTTTGCATCCTCTCCCGCTCTGCCTCATCAGGTGACCGGGCAGGGCGTAAAAAGGCGGCTAATTCACCTTCACAGACCGTCATTAATTAGGTTTTTGCGAGTGCGGTCGAGTGGGCGCCAGAGAGCGCGGGCGTGAACGTCACGGGCCGGGTCTTCTTCTGACGTCACCCGGCTTTGTATCGCTGACGGCGGGCGGCCTGCCCTGGCAGCTGCGTGCTCTTTCAGCCCTCAGCGTCAGCCAGTGCAGCTTGCTCTGCAGGTCCAGCGGGGGTATGGTATGCCTATTGCCGTGCGTCCTCTGCCCAGTCCGCTCTTACAGAGCGTATTTCATCGTCCAGCTGATCTCAAGCGGGCGCTTACCCTGCACAAGGTCCCGTCGTGCTGCTCTTCGTGATAACACCGGTAATTGTCCGTGTCCCAGGGACGTTTTAAGAGATACGCGGCAGTCAGTAGGACATCAGCAAAATGTGTTGTTTTTCTTGACTTACTTCACTACTGTTTCGTTACGTCCAGCAGCAGTAAGACTGTGTACCTGCTATTGCGTTCAAGACGGCCCTGTCCCTGTACCAGCAGCTGTATTCGAGACGCTTGAATCAAGCGTAGCAGACTGCGGCAAGACGCGAGGGGAAGAGGGGCCGGACGACTGACGAGGTGAGGCGGTTCCTCGCGTGTTGTTGCCGCGCATTAGCGCGGCGAAAGAGCGGATGTTGTGAGAAACGCAGCACTTAAGCTTCCGTGATGACTGGGGCTCCCCGACGTGGTCAGAAATCATGAAGATTGAAGCGCGTTCGATGGTCTTTGATGTCAGAGCAGCCTAAACTTTGACTGGTGACCACTCTATGAAAGCATGGCTGAGGCAGAACCATTTTCCGTTTCAATGTCAGTCCCTACATTATGCTCTAGTGCCGCACACCCATTATCCATCACGAAATCGATCTTTCTAACTAATACCTGTCGTCTTTCTTTTTTGAATCCAGTCGCATGAACTATTTCCATAAGCGGCTTTGGTTTCAGGTTTCTCGTTAGGTAACCCTTCTCGCGTGATCACTGATACAGTCACTCGAGTGGCTTAAGCTAAACGGGCAATATTACCTCGAACTGTTAGCCAATCAGTACTAAGATGGTCGGCGTACGGAGGCACCGGGACCTCTACTCGGCCGCCCCAGCTCGGTTTTTCTGAAGGCTGACTCTGCCTCCCCCTCCCGGCGAACGTAATTCGCAATATTTCTGGTTTTCCGCATCCTACCAGCATTCGTGGTTAATGCCCAGACATCAAAGCGCTGGTGGCATCCAGCTATTGCTGCGGCATCGGCTGCCAACTGCGCTACATCTGTCGTCCGGGCCGCCGCCGCCGACGGCCGGCCGAAGAACCGCTTGCTGCATGAGTGTGGCTCCGCCTGCGTGCCCGAACACCGTCTGTTCCCGTCGGCTACGACGAACAGCGGGCGGGACGTCAGGATCTTCCGCACCCGCGGTCTTCCCTCAACTTCGACGCATGCATGGTTTGTTCGTTTTTCGCGGCGGAGACGGTCTGGAAAACAGTCTGGGAAAGACCAATAGCATGGGTGTCGTCTCTGACTCCCATGTTGACATGTTTTAGAGCAAATAGCAAGGGGGAGGGGAAGGTTCGTCGTTCTTGTTATCTTGGCCCAAGAATGCTAATCCCGGTGTACCGATGCTCAAATCAAGTCGTAGATGGGTTTTAGAGCACACTCAATGGATCTAAGTTACATGGCCCCTTGGAATGTGTGACTACACCTGGATTTGCACTATGTTTTTATTGGATTCTAGTGCAATTCGCGCTACGATTGAAATTCCCTTCCTCCACCCCCCCCCCCCCCCCCTCCCAAACGGATTCAGTCCTCTACCGAAATCTGACGTTGATCCTCCTCTGGTTTGAATTGAGAGAAGAAGTGTTCAGCGGTACTGAGGCGTGACCAGCGGTGTCTCTTCATAACTCCCCCCCCCCCTCCCCCGCTCCTCCCCCGACACAATCTGGACCGGATAGCACCGCGTGCCTTCCGCGCCCGTCAGCCGCAGGGTCCGGGCTCACCGGCCGCCGGGGCCGCCTCCGCCCGGTCGGCGCCACCCAGGTCGTTTTCAATTATGCCGGCGTCGTAAATACGACGGCGGTGTCGGCGGCGCACGTCCCATGCGTTCAGCACGGCGCATCTTCGCCTGACGCCGGTGCCGCGGAGCCGTGATTTATGGCCGATGGCGCGGCCTGATGAGACCCTCGCCCGCCGCCGCTCCGCAGACTGACCTACCGGCCGGCGGCACCGTTCCGCACTCCCCGTGAGCTCGGTGCCTCCCCTGGGTGACGCTGTGCCGACGCCGGCGCTCGGGTACGGCCAGCGCGCCGCCGCGCCGTTGGCGCGCGACGCCGTGGAGCGCTGCAGAGAGGCGCCGTAATTACTATGCAGTCGCGGCCGGCGCTCTTTACGCAGCGGTGACGGACGGTTTCGCGGCGGAGAGGAACGACAACTCACGCCGCCGCCCCAGAAACGGATTGATTCCAACTCGCTAATGGGCGCAGCCGCATGGGAAGCCGGTGCCGATTACAGAGCGCCACCGCCGCCCGCCGCCCATCCGCCGTTCGATGCGCCGTTTCGCAGCGTTGCGCCAGGTCGCCGCCAGCGAAGCCAGCAACATGCTGGTTTGCAATGCTGAGATACGGATCTGGTTGAGCCGTGCCGTGATTGGTGGGGCTGAGGCCAGGGGATTAAGTACTTATTTGTGGCGCGTGATGTGTGTCTCTATTTTACACATTTTGCCGTTCTTTTGCAAACTATCTTACCCTCTTGCGAAGGCCCCATATACTTTCTTGTTCTTGGTTCTTGCACTGCCTTACGTTCCATTCCTATCGTTTTTCCTCTATTCCCCCCCTCTCTCTCTCTCTTTCTCTCTCTCTCTCTTTCTCCCTTTCTCTCCCTCTCTCTCTCTCTCTCACTTGCTCTCTCTTTTGCTCTTTCTCTCTCCCTCTCTCTCTCTCTCTTTCTCTCTCTCTCTCGCTTGTAATTTTTGGAGATATTTTTGGGGAGACCGCATGATAATTTGGCTCAGACAGTTGTCATGGACATGGACACCACAGATGCAATTGTTCATCCATAAATGGTACGGATGATGTGTTGACAAGCGACGACGTGGAACATAGGTGAGTTAAAATGAACACCTTATTCGGTCTATGCGAGCAGGGGTCGCATAGACCAAATAAGGTGCAATAATAGGGTGCAAGCTGCACATTCCCTGTCTTTGATATCATTTTCCAGATTTGGCTCTGTTTTTTGGTCTAGGCTTTTGGTAGGCTCAACACCCTAGTGCTGAGTCGCTGAGCGCCATGTCGTTAATCAACTCAATGAAACCTCCACCCGAACACAATTATGGTTAACGAAGTGTTTGGTGTCAGGATACTAGAAAAACAAGCCCCACAGACTTCGCGGAAATCATGTTGTCACGTTGTGTGGCTCTACGAGATCCGCTACTCTTTCATAGCCATGGTATAAAGAGAGCAAGATGGAGAGCGTGACAGAGGCATCATACACCTGTACGCTTGTAATAGTTGTTATGCATTCATGCAT